GGGCTGGAGGGAGGCTGGCCAGCAGGATCCTGTAGGATCTCAGCCCTATCCCTCCAGTTTCCTTCACAGAAAAGTCCTTCAGGATTTGGCTTCCAGGGTCTGGCAGGAAATGCCAGAGGGTGGGAGGCGGGTACAGTGTGCAGAGCTGCAAGTTTTAAAGAGACAACACCATGGGTAAAACTGGCCAAGTCAAGTTTTGTGGGATCCAGTTGGAAAGGATGGTTTTGTACCTGGGGGTGATAAAATACAAGCAGGCAAAATCTAAAAGGGTCTGGAAATTTTAATTTTCTGTTAACCACAGAATCTAAATAAATCTACCTCTCTGAGCTCTGGGCTCCAGCAGCCAATGGAACAAGCAGTTTCTGAAAAAGCAGCTTCTGCCTCAGGATCTAACCTGGAGCAGGAAAGTCATGTCTTTTAGAGCCTAGTGGGGTACTGCAGTCACCTAAAGAGGGTCCCCAGCTCTGCCATGTCCCTTTCCTTCAGCCTCTGACTTTACAAGAATTTGTTTTCCTTATTTCCTCAGTATGTACCTCTCTCCCAAACTTCACCTCTTTCCTGTGTCTTTTGTCCACAAAGAAGCAGGAGGAAGCTGTGATGTCTAAGGTAGAGAGAGTGTCAAAATGAAATCTACAAAGAACTTTGGAGCCATCTCTTGGCACCCACCTTCTTTCCAATGCTAACCCTACTACAAGGGCCAGATCTGTAGCCTCCCTAACCTGAATCAGATATTCTAGAAACTCAAAAACACAGCAGGATCTCAAGTCTAGCACAAGGTCTGAATTTGATGGGTTTCTATTTGTGGTTTTATTGACTGGTCTATCTGACCACTCTCATTAGCGCTAGGTGCTGAAATCATTTCACTTGCTTTTTATCTTCCAGAGTCTGTGGAAGAAGACTACAGCTTAGTCCCCAAAGACAGAACAGCTTAGTAGAGAGAAATCTTAAGTCACTATTTGAATTTAGCTTGGTCCCTCAGCAGGCTTCTGCCACCAGACTCGACTGGGCCATTATGGTTAATGCCAATGAGTCTACACAGTCATCATTGCTGGATGCCAGGAAAGACACAGGGCCTTACTTTACACTCTCCCAAGCTCTGCCAGCCAACCTGTACATGGTGCCCAGCTTAAAGCTCTGCATAATCTACCAGGATGCTCTCAAGGCAGTTTCCAGAAGAGCTAGTTCTCCCGATAAACTAAAACCTGAGTCTATTAGTGACTCTTCTATTGCTATAACAAGACATCATGGCCAAGGCAACCTAAGAGTAAAGAATTTCTTCGTGCTTTTGGTTCCTGAGGGGTCAAGTCCATGATGACGTAGCAAAGGCATGGGGGCAGAAGCAGCAAGCTGAGGGCACAGATCTTGAGCATCAAACAGGAAGGAGAGAGAGAGAGAGAGAGAGAGAGAGAGAGAGAGAGAGAGAGAGAGAACATTAGGAATGGTGGGAGGCTTCTAAAGTTCAAAGCCCCCCCCCAGTGACACAGTTCCCCCCCCCGAAAAAAAAAGCCACACCTCCTAAGTCTCCTCAAACACTGCCACCAACTGGAGGCCAACCATTCAAGTATCTGAGCCTGGAGGGGTCCTTCTCATTCAAACCAGCACACTGAGGCTCACCCCAAACCTGACTTAACACCTGCTGTTGCTTGACCTGTTCTATTCAAGGATGAGGCAAAAATCTTTTTTGCTTTGTTTTGTTTTTTGTTTTTCAAGACAGGGTTGCTCTGTGTAGCCCTGGCTGTCCTGGAACTCACTCTGTAGACCAGGCTAGCCTCGAACTCTCGAACTCAGAAATCCACCTGCCTCTGCCTCCCAAGTGCTGGGATTAAAGGCGTGTGCCACCACCACCCGGCTGAGGCAAAAATCTTAATAGGATTCAAACAGATCTTTGTGGTTTTGAATCATATATGAAAATCTTAGTCAAAACCACAATGGTATGGTGGCTGAGGAATGCTACTTTTTCAGGAAAAAGAACATCCAAGCAAGACTGAAAATTGACCACAGATTGTGGCTGCCCTTTCTGTTTCCAGTCCTAACGAAATGTCACCCTTCAAATGCACAGCTGCTCCACTAGACCCTGAAGATCAGTAGCTCCCAAGTTCTCTTGGTTTCATTGTCACTGAAACACTAAGGATTACTTAGTGCTATTTACTGCAGACTTTAGTAAGAGCCCCCAGTCACCCTGTCATCCTTCCTCAGGCAAATCTGTATTCTGCTGATAACCCCACACCCAGTACCCACTTCAGTCAAGAGGATAATAGCCAGTCTTTAAAAATTAGTCAAGTAAAGCACAAAAATTAGTTTTTGAAAATTAAATTTGGGGTCTTTAAGATGATTTTTCAAAGGTTCCTTTATTAGTAAACCAATCCCCTGTGGTAAGATTAAATTATAATTTATTAAGAAAAATAGAATATATACATGCTATATAAAGCAGGTATCATCCTGTTCCTATGACTCTGGGTACCTGACACTGGCCTAAGGGAAGGATCAGTAGGTCTCTGAACTGCAAAGAAAGTTTCTCCTCTCTCCTCCAGCCACTCAGACCCTCAAAACCACGCCAGTTCATTTCTTCTTCTGTAAAATTCATGGCATTCTTCAATGCTCTTTTTTGTGTCAATGAGAAACCATGACTTTGACATTCTTCAGTGCATGTTTTCTGTAAAAAAAAAATGGTGGCATTGATGATGCCACTGCCTTTCCTCATTTGCTCACCAAGCAGACCTTCAACTGTGACTTTCCAGGAGCCACCATATATTGGAACCCCACAGAGCCTTCCTGAGTAGACCAGGCTCTTTCAGGCTCCTGGGCCTTTTGACCAAAAGTTCAAAGATAAAAGATAAAATGTGACTCCCTCTCTACATAACCACATTAGTTGAGAGACAGTGATGGCCTTGAGAGACTGGTAGGGGTCTAGCAGGCTTGGCCACAGCAGACAGCCATACCAGATCATGGCCTCAGAGGAGTAGCAATCCCAGAAGGCAGAGGTACCAGGTTTGGCTGCCAACATGTACTGTCTGTGGACAACAAAATCTCGTATTCATAGGCCAGAGACAGAACTGCTGCCTAGTAGGCATGAGACTCTAAGTCCAATTCCTAATACCCCCCCCACACACACACCACACACACACACACACACACACACACACGTATGCACATGCACACAACTTTTGGTTTTCTGAAACAAGTTTCTTAGTGCTACAAAGAGAAAAGTAGACTAAGAGATTTTTGTTGGTGGATGCTGTTATTAAGACAAAACTCAAAACAACTGGATGTAAGCCCATGTGAAAAGAACCACAGACAATAAAGACATTTTGGACCTGATACATTTCCCTTTAATCTTGAATTAAGTTCTAAAAGAGTTAGATATGGTAGCTCATGCCTATAATGCTAGCATTTAAAGGTGGAGCCAGATTGTCTCAAGTTTCAGGCTAGTATGGGCTGAACTTCAGAATGAGGTCCTGTCTCAAAACCAAAACCATGACAGCCAAGCTGTAGTGGGAGAAAAAAAAGCGGAGTCCATCTCTGGACTTGTATTGCCACACTGGACTCTGCATTTGTACACACATGCAAAATCATACTAATCTGTTTGGCGTTGCACAACACAAATTTAAAGGAGAAATGAGACTTAGCCGCCAGTCTGAGGCTTGATCAGAAAAAAAAAAAAAAAAAAAAAAAAAAAAACGAAACAAAGATATTCTTATGAAGCGGGGTCTCTGAGGACAGTTTCACAGAGAGAGCAACCCTGGTGCCCCTGAAAAATAAGTCACAGAATGACCAGGCATCTTCGGGTGGTTCTCATTGCTGAAGAGATCAAAAGGATAAGAAAACTTTCCTAGATCAAGGTTGCTTAATGTAGCCTAGGTGTCAGGCGTGGGCTGATGGGGAAAGTCGAGACCAAATAATTTGGGCAATCATGGATTAAACTCAGGTAATCTTTCTTTGTACACTGCAGGACTCTTCTGGGACGTCAGTAAACAAATGTGTACTGAGGCTACTGGACGGAAGCTCTGGCCAGAGTCCTTCATTCTTAAAACTCCCAAGATAAGCAGGCTTCTCAGAAACTGCCTTGGGGGATGGAGGGGGCTGGACCAAGAGGCTGTAAAGTTTCTGGTGGCAGGATCAGGGTCTTGTTTACCAGGACCTGGGATACCTGCGCTCACACACACACACACACACTCACACACACACACACACATATACACACACATACACACAAATGAGCACCTACACAAGTACAACCCTTCACTGTCTAGGATCCAGGAAAGAACAGGTAGGAGTCTGGATTACCTTCTAAAGAACCCACACACTACAGATTCATAATGCATCCTAGAAGACTTTCTCCCACACACGTCCCAAAAAAGGAAAATAAAATAAGAATTTTATGAAGAACATGTGCTTTTTTTCCATGAGAATAATACCAAACCAGATGAGGGGATGCTACAATGTCCTTGCAGACATTCAGCCTTTACTGCCACCTGCTGGCAGCCAGACACATACATGGTAACTTTTATAATGATTAGAATTCATGGTGGAATTCCAAGCATTTGTTTAGATTTGGCATCTCCTATGACATGTCACACATTAGAAGAATTAGGGAAGCTTTTGCCTTTGCTTTTTTTTTCTTTTGAGCTGAAAGTAGCCTAGAAGCAATCTTACTGTCGATAGGAAGGAGCTGCAGCAGGGTATACACCACGTCTGTTGGTTTTTCCAATGAGTCAACACTGGGGTTAGCCATTTGGCTGTGTGTTGCTACAATCTGAAAGGACACTATCGATCTTTCATCCCTGCACAAGTGCACACATGGAAAAGTCCCATGACCCTGAAAGAAGATGGTATTCAAAGGAACACCTATTTCTGCCAGGGTAAACTCCACTCCGATACACAAAGTCTTGGGGGAGAGGCATGCAGACGGTCAAAATTGGTTTCTGACAGCTGAGATTCTGTGTGTTAGACACCACAATGCTATCCGGGAGGATGGCTGGCCAGCCCCTTCTTAAACATACCTTGGTCTGGAAGCAGCAATAGAGTTGGGTTAGATAAGGGTGTTTCCGTGCCAGAGCCAAAATCCTCTTCTCTGTCATTGTGCAGTCCACGTCATCATCCTGCAGGATGACGTCTTTCTTTAAGACCTTCACAGCATAGACTTCATCCTTGCCCTTGAGTTCTGCCAGCATGACCTGCAACCAGTTTTAACCATCTGCTTAGCCTATGCACACACGGAATCAAATGATGTCAAATATCTAAATGCTACTTGCTTTTTTTAATCGGGTATTTTATTTATCTACATTTCAGATGTACCTTTACCCATTTCTCCTCCCTAGAACCCCCCTATCCCGTTCCTCCTCCTCCTCCTTTTTGCTTTTATACCATTTTAATTACAAGCAGGTATTAAGGTCAGTTCTAGGTTGAGGAACTAGCAATACAATAGATGCAAGTAGTCAAGGAACAAGCAAGACAATAAACACAAATAGTCAAAGAACAAGCAAGGGAATAAACAAAATTCCGTGAACACTCCCATGATCACTGTTTCTAGGGACTTATCAGGATGATCAAAATATCTGATCCTACTTCCCTGTCCTAGCCCAAAGTCATTTTCATGTCTGAAGCCTACTTCCTTGCTCTAGCCTAAAGTTTAGATTCCTGGCTGAAGCCCACTTCCTTGTCTGTGGCCAATGTCAGATTCTTGCCAAGCAGCCCCAAAAGTTCTCTACCTCTCCCCATTTTTTATTTCATAAACAAGACTGAGCCTGTCTTTGGTCATTCTGCCAAGAATATCTTCCTTACCCATCATGGAATATGCATTATCCATAAGCAATGAAATGCTATCTTAGGTAGGTAAGCCTCTGTGCAGAACCTTACCTGTCTTGGCTTGCCAGCCTGTTAATTTACTAACTCTGTCTGGAGGTCCATTTTCAGGTTCAAGCCTTGTACTTTGTCTGACAACATGTTGATGTTGTTAAAGACAAGCTTTAGCATGATGGGCAGGAATAAAAGCATTTCCAGTACAAAAAGGGCTAGCATGATCAAGCTATATATGCCATTCTTGAAGCTTGACCAAAATAAAAATACTGACCTCAGGCCATGGGTAATTTTATCAGCTAGTTGCTTTTTTCCTTTCATTTTTAGTGAAGATGTTTTAAAAGCTAATATATTAAAAGTTTAGGGAAACTACCTAACTTTTTTTCTTTTTAAATCTCTGGCACAGTGCTAAGGTAAGAGAAGTTTAATGCACAGAGGTTAAGTAATTATTCATGTCTTCATCTCCATTAGTGATACATAATTATCAAAAAACAAATGTAGCATTCTTTCTCTCTCTCTCTTTTATCCTTCTTTTCTTACTCTTTTTCCTCTTCCTTCCTTTCTTTTGACAGTTCGCACTATGTAGCCCAGGCTGGTCTTGAACTCATGACACTTCTGTTTCACCCAAGTGATGAAATATTAGGTGTACCCCACCATACTATACACAAATACAGACTTTCAGAAGAAGCAGTATGTTATATGTATTTCCTACAAGGTCTCCATTTTTATCATGATTGCTGGTACTCAGTTTAAAGTAAATACACTATAATTAATTCTGCTATCTCCTTCATATTAGAAACTTATGTTATACCCAATTAAGTTCTATATAAGTTGCACTGAGTGCTTTTGGAAACAATTTAAAATTTTATTTGGCATTATATTCTTGAAATGGAAATTTTCAGAACCAAAGTATTAAACATTTTACACATTTCCTGATATTTAAAAATAAATTTGTTTATTTATTTATATGAGTACACTTTAGCTGTCTTCAGACACACCAGAAGAGGGCATTGAATCCCATCACAGATGGTTGTGAGCCACCATGTGGTTGGTGGGAATTGAACTCAGGACCTCTGGAAGAGTAGCCAGTGCTCTTAACTGCTGGGCCATCGCTCCAGCCCACATTTCCTGACTTTTAAGAGGGCTATAATAATTCACTTTAGTGAAGAGCATCTATGAGCATGAGGCCACTTTTAGCCTGTCCTGTCCAGCAGGGCATTAAACAGGGATCCGGGGAGGTCACCTGAAAGAGAGTGGGGGTGGGGGTGGGGAAACAGGCAAAGATGCAAAGAAATGACGATCTGTCTATAGTCTGATCAGATCATGCTTTTCACTTTTTCACACACAGGTTATATACACAAAAAGGCAGGATGTGGGGAAGGGGATGACACAGGAGCATAGGTGTTCAGGGGGAGTACAGATATCTTCCAGAACAGAGTGTCAGCTGGGTGAAGGTTCAGGGGACAGATCACTATGACTCTGCCTATGAGTCACTTGTCTTTATCTAAGTTGGGACTATCCACCAAGGCTACCTATCTACAAGGTCTATGTATTCAGCCTGGCAATTTTCCAACAAAGCTGCTTGTTTACAATAGCTTCTAGGCGTCTATTTCAGTGTTTTTACACAAAGACCCAAGACTTTGTGTTAGTAGGCATGTATGTCAGGCCTATTGCTGATTTTAGGCCTATAGCTGATTTTAAGCCTTCAGTGTATAACATGGCTGCCCCTGACATTGGCCATTCCTTCTGTTGGTTTGCTTCTTCTTCCTTGACAAGTGGGAGAGATTACCCTGATCTGTTTTCAACCTGCAGCCTACCTTCCTGGGATGTTTATTTTCGAATCGATTCTCTTTGTGGGAGAGTTACTTTTATCCTCTGTCGAATTATTTGCGAAGTTGTTGTTTCTTCTAAGTCGGTTCACATATGAGACATAAAGACAAACCTCTTGCTTTCTGCACCAGTCCTTCCATGCCTGTTTCATGACAATCTATTTTTTTCTTATTGAACATAAATCTTTATCTTTGTGTACTTAATCCTGCCCTGTGTTTGCCTTTACAGTTTTATCCATAGATCTACAAGTAAAGACAAAATTCCTTCCCCTGATGGCCTGATGACTTATGGGGAGTCTATTTTCTTGGCATTTGCCTATCAGTTTGGTGTTTTTATTTACCTCCAAATAGTCACAGATCATTGTCCTTCCAGGGGACTTTGAAGAATGTTATTCCAATGTTGCTGTCAAAGTTAAAGAACATAACCCAAGGAACTTGAGAGACTGCAGATTCTGTCACCTACTAAATACAGCCTATAAAACTGGCTCCAACATTATTTTGATGGCTGTGATTTTGCCTAAGAAACTAGCTAAGTGCTCGGAGTTAGCAGAAGTCCTATCCCGTCTACATTACGTGTAATCCTGGGAGCTCTGAGCATGCTCATTTCCCTAAAATCTTGCTCAGATTTAAACCTATCCCTTCTCATAGGCTAAGCCAGAGTCACCTAAACCACAGCTGGGGTATGTCTCTTATTTAGCTAGTTTTTAAAGAATGTGAGTTCTTCAGCAGTTACCATCTGAGGAAATTCCAGTAACCTCCCTGACAGGTGATCTCAGGACAGATAGGGCAGGTGAGTGCCTGCAGAGCAGGCCCTGTGCCTGAGGGCTTCCCAGAGCCTTCCCTCAAAATGGCCCTGGAATGGTATATTAGGTATTTAGCTCCTGGCTGCTTCTCAGAGCCCAGGACAAATGAGAGAACCTCACTGATTACCCACCAGGCACAGCTTTAAGACAGACAATGAGATAGTCAGATGTCTGAAATGCCTCTCAGATTCCTGGGCTTTTTGTCTCTTTGTCTTTTTAAAAAATCAAATCTTTGCATTTTGTCATGCCCATCACTGAAGGGCATAGCCCCCACAAGGCATATGATGCAGCAGAGAGCAGAGGAAAATGTCCTCCAGGACAGAGAACCTGGATCCACTACACAATTATCCAGTTCTCCTCTCACATGGAGAGGAAGAGCAGAATGTTTAGGAAGCATCAGGAAAATCAGTTAAAGGACATTCAGCTTCCATAGTCTACACAGTAAGGTTTGCTCTGAACCTGGAGTCCACCAGGTACAGGGCCTTAGAGTTCATCCTTAAAGTCTTCCTACTGAGAAACCAGGGATTTTAGATGGCTATCTACACAAAAGAAGAAACATGCACATGGGAACAACAGTGGAAAGCAGGGAGCACATGATAAACACATGAAACCTCTCAGTGTGCTCCTTCCCTCTTTCCTTCCCTCCCTCCCTTTCTCTCTGCCTCCTTCCCTCCCTCTCTCCCTTCTTTTTCCCACTTGATAAATGAGAACAACCCAATCCTACAGAGAATGCCCACAGACCTTGCCAAAGCTGCCTTTGCCCAACACCTTGATGAAGTTGAACTCATCCAGGCCCAAGCGCTTGGCCTGGCCTTGCCGGACTTCACCATTCTCGCCAGGGCTTGCCAGCTGGCCATCAGTCGAGGATGAGGCTCGGTGCTCCTCTCCCCGGTTGTCAAATGACAAGGCCTTCCGGATGTTGTTTTCAAGTTCTTTTAGTTCTAGAATCAAAGGTTAAAAGTGAAGTAGATTAGAATCACTTCATGAGCCATTTACCTTAAGACTCAATATTCAGAACCCATCAGTTCTCATAAAGGCAGATCCAGGGCATCCTATAGGTTCCTTTATCTGTACTAACACATTTCTTTTGATACCTAGTGTGCAACAAGCCATCAGTCTGCAAAGAAAAGGATATAGTTCCTGATCTGTCAGGATTCACTGCCACCAAAGGCCTCTGAAGGCCTTCTAGCAACCTTGTCCACAATTTAGGTGTGTTGAGACTACATGTCTTCGCTGGATCTCTGCAGACTCAGGGGCAACAGGCACCCTCCCATTCAACTTTCCTTTGAAGATGAGAACCCTCAGAAGCCACCCTCACAAGCTTTACTGGTGACAGAATCACTCACTCACTCACAGGGCCTGTGAACTAGAACTAAAAGAACTTGAAAACAACATCTAGGAAGGCTTTGTTTTTCTAAACGTCTTTACTTAGTGTTGACATTGGCTTTACTCTGAGTACTTGTCCAATATGAACCTACCTGAAGCTACCTAATAGAATGAGCCACAGGCTTATCATTAACAAAAGACTAGCTTCCCACAATGGCGTGTCATAAACATATCTCTTCCGGGTTAGGAATTCCGTAGTTCAATTTCACAACTAGGAGACGGTCTTGTGGCCTTCTGGAGTATGTGACCTAAATTACCTGGGTGATGGTGCTGGGTGGCCCTTTGACCTTTTCTATTTGAACAAGGCCTATTATGGTTAGACATTCATTCACCAACAGGAACACTCATCTGTGTGGTACGGGTGTCCTGATATGATCCTACTGTAAAAGACTCTCATGAGTAACAGGGGTTACAGAGGGGCAGAGTATTTATACTTTGGAATGAAGACAGATGAGTGAGCAGCACCTCTGGAGAGGAAGATCTCTGCCTCCTTTCCAGAAGGATTTTAGTCCTAAGGGCCCATGCAGGGGATCTAGAGTGAACTCATAATGGGGTGGAAGGACAACAGCCAAGCCTGCAGACAGCCGTGTGATGACAGACTCAGCAGTTGCATAGCTCACTCACTCCAAAGTATGACTTTTATCTCGTTGGGAAGGCCTCAGTTGTTAAGAGCTTCTTGAAAGGTAGAACCAGATGTCTGAAGACCCCAAAACTCGAAGAAAATGGCTTTCTGAATTCTTACAACAGAGGAGAGACAGTGTTCTGCTAATCTCTGCTTTGTGATGTGTTACTAAGAGGCTTTCATATCCTTTAGTCAGGCTGGGAAGCACGGGACCTGCCTAACTGGTACATCTGCCTGAATAAAGCCTCAAGAGGCACAGCAGAGAGTGCACCAGGCAAGAGCCTGGCTTGGGAACCAGGGGTACATTACCTTACCTGGGTCTGTTATCACTGGACCCCATCTCTTTAAAGTTCCAGGACACTCAGTATTAAAAATGAAAAGCTGAAAATGTCTCACTTGCCCATGATAGGATCTGTAAGCTGATTACTTGGGGAGGGATGTAATCTCTTTTGGAATAAAGACACAGAAAGTGAAAAAGACCAGAAGAGCTGAGATCAACATTCTATAGTTTCTAGACTGGTGAAAGGCCACTGAAACGGTCTTGCTTATTCCTGAGTAAGAAGCGCTGTGTCACAGTGATGACCTCCAATGAGGAGTTCACAGTTCAGGAGAGGCACAGGCCCATCCTGGACACCAACTTGGTTCTTGGCTTCAGGTCAAGCCTTTTCAATGCGGACCTCCCATTTCTCAGCCTGTTACCTGGGCATCAGTATAGAGCTGGTGTGAGTAAAATATTAACAACAACAGCACAGGAAGGGCCATAGAAAAGGGCACCACCATGCGGTGAGGTCATTCTGCCTAGTAGATGTGTTCTGCTCTTTCCAGGGATGTTTGGGAGCCATCTGTCACCAGAAGGAAGGCTTCAGACAGCAGTCCTTGTTTAGCTCTGGCATCTCAGATTCCATAAATGTATACACGTTATGCCTGCAGAACTTACTGTCTTAAGCAGATTATCTAGTCAGAAGGAAAGAGACATCCAGAGTGTAGGCAGAGGAAAGTCAGGCCTAGGGCTGACTCCCCCTGCTTCTCAAACTTCATCTTTCTATTCCCATCTGTTCATTCAAAGAACAGGAGAGGAGACATCCTCCCTAAGTCAGCCTCATCTCAAATCTTGGGGTGCCATGATTAATGGGAAGGGCTGTAAAGCACGTATATGGACATGTCTAGGTCCAGACAGAAGGATGGCATGATGAGCAAAGGACTGGAAACTCTCTACACTTGAAACCAGGGTAAGAAGTGAAGCCATAACAGACCACAGCATACACATGCAGGACCCCTGCTACCTCAGGCTGGAGGGAACAGAGGCGAGCACTCCTGCCTAGTGCCCTCAAGAAGCCGCTTAGCATGCAAGAACAACTGCCATATCAACAAGGAAGTAGTGAGTGGGGACTTGCTGGTGGGGCTATTGGCAGCACTCAGTAACAAGTGACAGGGGTCAGAGGTCAGAGTCTCACCCTGGTCACAAGGGGAGGTGGGCGCAGACTTGGATCTGTCATCTTCAGATGGGGAGTTTCCAGAAGCCGGCTGTGGGGACTCTGCACCAGCAACGAGCTAAAAAGGACAGAGAGAGTCATAAGAAAGGACGCTTGTGTTTTCAAAAGCATCAAGACACCATAGGAAGCTCAGAAGTACATCAGACAAAGAGCAGATGCACAAGGATTCATGTGCCAATTTAATGGAAAACAAAGCAAAACACGAAAGATCTCCACAATACTTATCCTCTCCAAAGACAGATGACCCTTAAAGCAAAGCTCTGCTCCAGTCTTTACATGACACTCTCCCCCATACACACCTTACTCCCCATCCCTCATTCCCAACCCGCCCCCACACACACCCCATTCCCAACCCCGCAATATCTATGTAATGCAAGTTCTCCTACCAAGTCAATGCGATCCCGACTAGCTCGACCTCCCATCTGGTGTTTATTCATGATCTTATTCACCTTTTTATCAATAACGGCACCTGCAGGTGCACATTGTGTGGGCTCCTCTAGTTAGACTTCCCAGTACTTTCATTGCCCCTAGTGGCTGGCACGAAGTACTACACATAGCAGATGCTCGCTAATAGTTTCAGATGTTGTTTAATCCCGTTAGCACATTTTAGTGGAAGATTCCCAGTCACTTTCATTTGTTACTGGCGGGTCCAACTTAAGTGCCAGTATGGATTTGGAGATCACAAGAATTTCGGTTCCCTCTGCTCTTGATCTTCCCAAGGGTCTTTTCTAGCAAAAGGTCCGAGTTGACTGCAAAGACCGTTTAGCTTCTGACCAAGGATATGTCTCTTCCCTGTCTGTCATGTCATACAACTGAGGCTTTCTATCAGGACTGTCACTCAGTGGAGATTGCTGGATGATAGCTCCTTGGCCCTTTGTCTACTTGGTCCTGCTTTCCCCAGCTGCTCTTCTCTTTGAGAGCCCACAAAAGTGAGCCTGGAAATGTAATGCAGTGGACAGCAACCTGTCACCAGAACCATAGCCTGTGTGCAAGGACAGAGCATTTCCCTTTAAACCTCTTGTGACAAAGGCTGTCCCACTTCCAGCAGAGAAAAGTTGTTCTTCTGAGAAGGACTTTCTCTGGCGCTGATCAATGGTGCAATGTACCAGAGACCTTGCTCAGCCTGCCTCTTTAGAACCTCTAGTATTACTGGCTAGTGTCACAGTGGCTTTGTAACTCCACTGCCTTGGGGCACCAAACAAAGTTGTTTATTTTAGGATTCACAGAACCTGGAGAAGCCATCCAATGTTTAAGGCTTCACGGTGACCCTGGATAGGGTAGTTTCTTCAGGGCTTGCAAAACAGCTTTGTTTGTTGGGAAGACAGAAGAGAGAGTTAAAAAGATAAAAGTTGTCTGACTCTCTTCATCAGTGGGATCCAAGTTTTTCTAGGGCCATGAGGAAAAAGACATGGGCAGGTTCAAAACCAAGAAGAGTGGGTAATGTAGGCTCCTCAGAAGGGATTTCAGGACAAGAGTAGAGGGAACTCAAGAGCAAAAGCCACCAGGCACCTAGAGACACACTTGCTCTCCTAGAAAAGCACTTTGAGAAGTTTGACACTTGGCAGATGGGGCCACACCTTATCCACCCACACCAGCACTGACTGTCCCAATAATATCCTCCTCATAACCTGTTTCTATAGGCCTCTAAAATTTTCTAAGGCAGGTATCATGGCTGAGGCAGAACCCACTAGAGATGCCCTTAGCTCTCTTTACATCCATAGGCCTTGACTTGTCAAAACAACACATTAGAAAATACAATTCTTCCTAACGACACTTAGAATGTCATATGGATAAACAGGGCTTTGGTCTCTAAGAAAGGCCATGTGTTCTTAAGTACTTCCCAATAAACTCAGTGTTAGATGACAGAGATGGCCCATCTGTGCACCCAGTTATCCTCAACACCAGAGCCCAGATTCAGACACTAACTACTTCATGACAGTTCTGGCAGCAAGTTAGTTTGCTTCAGTGTCTAGAGCAGTAGTTCGAAACCTGTGGGTGGAGATCCCGAGGGAGTTGGTGGGAGTCGAACAACCCCCTAAGACCATCAGAAAACATGGATATTTATGTTAAAATTCATAGTGATAGCACAATTACAGTTATGAAGTAGCAATGAAAATGATTTTGCAGTTGGGGGTCACCTCAACATAAGGAACTGTATTAAAGGGCTTCAGCACTAGGAACCCTGAGAACCACTGCTCTAGAGTGTCATGCAGCACTAGGAAGGATGAGAACCGCTGCTCTAGAATGTCATGCAGCACTAGGAAGCCTGAGAACCGCTGCTCTAGAATGTCATGCAGCACTAGGAAGCCTGAGAACCACTGCTCTAGAGTGTCATGCAGCACTAGGAAGGCTGAGAACCGCTGCTCTAGAGTGACATACAGCACTAGGAAGGCTGAGAACCACTGCTCTAGAATGTCATGCAGCACTAGGAACCCTGAGAACCACTGCTC